GAATGTCAATCTCACTGGCGGCTCAAATCGTGCGATATTCTTTCTGGCACCAATTTTGCTGCTTCTCAACCAGGACTCTGATTTTGTTGCCGGATTTGGGGACAAGCAAAGGTATTTCCCTGTTTCAGTAGTGATATCGGCCTACCTAGTCCTGACTGCCATCTACAGCATATGGGAAGATGTCTGGCATGGGAATGCGGGTTGGGGCTTGGAAATTGGCGGTCCAGATTGGTTCTTTGCTGTGAAGAATTTGGCCCTCCTCATTCTTACATTCCCGAGCCATATCCTTTTCAACAGGTTTATGTGGAGTTTCACAAAACAGACAGACTCAATGCCGTTGATAACTATGCCCCTTAATCTGCCATCGATCATAATAACAGACGTGCTGAAGATTAGGATATTAGGGCTCTTGGGAATTGTTTATTCCCTGGCCCAGTATCTAATGTCTAGACAACAGTACATCTCAGGGTTAAAGTACATTTAGACAAACACATACTTGTGTACAATATGTTTTAGCAGTTTTCAGATCAGGAGTGAAGGTTCAGGTTTGTTTCTCACTTCTTTCACTTTTTCTTACCTTTTCTTTGAGCATTTGCAATTTGGCATGCCCTGAAATGCCTGAACTGTCAACCGCCTTTTGAATCATCACGACAAGTCATTACGCCAAGACCTTTGAGTAGGAGTTAAACCTTCCGAGCAAATTGATGGCTCTGGTTGGTTAATTCCCGATCTGGCCATTCAGACAGTAACATGCATTTAGAATTACAAAATGATTGGGAATATTTGCCCCTACTTACCTGCTTGAGTAAACTGTGATACTTTGCACTGCTGACGCCAAGTTGTAAGAATTTGATGTATGATACCGTGCGATGGTTGTATAAATGTCAAGCTTGTGCATCAGCCCTTGTTTTTACGTTTGAGTAGTGACAGAGCTGTGAATGCTGGTGAATTGTTTCGTTTGGTTGCCCGGATGAGGTGAGAATGGATAACTCGTAAAATTCAAGGTATATTGTTTTCGTAAAATTCAAGGTATATTGTTTTCGTAAATTTCAAGGTATATTGTTTCTTAAGTTTTTACAACTCAAGGGTCAAGGGGCTCCTTGAATGAGAAAAAGTAAGTTACCTACCATACAAGTTTTCAAATTTCTAAAGAGTTTCAGATACAATTCAAATTTTCAGATTCAATCAAGATTTTTCAAAGCATTTTAGGATCACAAATCAAACAGGCCAGTTCGTCCTTGTGCCTAAACAGACGCTGCCGTGTCTTTGCCGGAACGGAACTTCACCTTGATAGCTGTGCTCGAGGAACAGAAGCTGCCCTGTGTGGCGCCGTTGGCTCCATCCACCGCTTAAGATCGAATCATAGGGGTTCTCAGAAGTGAGCGGAAATGTCAGTTTCTTGGGTTTTCTGGTTTGATATGGCGGATGTCTCGGGTTAAGATTCAGAACCCTTGCCCTTAAACCTCTAAATGCTAAGAGATACTAATACCATGCACTGTAACTGAACCGTCACATGAAGTGTGTGGAAGTAAAAAAAACAGGCTCATAAAAACAGTGCAAAATCAAAGATTGAGATTACACCAAGAACTCTTAACACATTTTATAAGTTAGGTGTGCAATCACAACCCCCGTCTAACAATTTTTACATAGCTCTCAACCGAATGTTGAGCGTTCCCTTGCGTCCAAACGCTGATACCGACACTCCGAAATGTCAATTTGCACTCTTCTACCCCGTCGGGAAAAAAATACCATAGAGAATTAAGAGAGAGGAGAGATTTCCTTTCCTTATATGGTTTATCACTAAACTGATGCACAGAGTCGAATTTGTAATTTGAAGGTTATATTAGAGACGCCAATATATAATTATATGTGCATCAAGAGCGATCCAATTACGACCTAGATTTGCACGTCCCTTGATGAGCTACTCCCACTCCGATGATGAGCCTGAAAAAGAAAAATTTTAACACATGATCGGCATAGAGTTAAGCTCAAATGGAAAACAAAAGGCAGATCAGATGTGGATTTATAATCTAACGGTTGTAATTAGCCCATCCTACTCTTTGACGACCTAAACCGTTGATTTCAGAGGCTACCGTTGCCGGAAAATGTAGGGTTTTCGTTTTCATGCAGAGATTTTCTTCTATCTACAGCCATTAATCTCAAAAGTTCACCACAGCGGGGTCTGCAACTGCAAACAGAATATTAAGAAGATCAAACAAGCATACATTCCAACTGATACCATGTCATTCTTACTTTCAAGCTTTTCTTTGACTCTAAAAGTTTATCGATATTAGGGTGAGGGATGTGTTGGAGTTCGGAACTTGGAAGCAAGATTTATGAGGAGGAGGAGGAGGAGGAGGAGGAGGCGGAGGAGGAAGTACTGAAGCTGGAGAGAACTGCAGGGTTTAATGGAAGTTATAAATCAGAAGTGGTTTAGCATTTATAGACAATTTCGTGGCAGTGGTTATGGCGAGATAAATTCTTTAACTGCATGAAATAACTCAGCTCAGTTGGTCAAAAGTATCCGGTCTCTGAACAAATTTTGAATTTTTGTTTTATCTTCTCTAATATTGCTGGCACAAAAAAAAAAGAGTATAATATTATTTAACACCTAAATTGACACTCTCTAAAACAAGAAAGATCACATACAATATCGCTTAGCAGCAGACCCTATTAATTTTATATTATCATAAACTAAGAGTTCGTTTGGAAGTATTTTTAAATTGATTTAAAGAGGGATTAGAGAAAATAATTTTGGGTTGCAAAAAACACTTAAAAGTGCTTCTTGCAAGAAGCCCCAGTTACGTGATTTTGTAGAAAGCACTTCAAGTGTTTTACTAGAATTTACTTGCATTCTTACTAAGGATTGGTTCAAAAACGTTTTCATCAAAACCACTTTAAGTCATTTTAAAAATATTTTTAAATCCAAGCCTAAGGTGTACACACTCCGGAGAGTAGGATTAATTTCTAGTAGGATTTGGAAAAGCTAAAGACATTTCAACTCGCCTCTGAAGCAGTTAAATGACACAAGTCTTCCTAAAACTTTTAACTAGAGAATTATCCGTGTTTTTGCAAAATTCATGTCTCAAATTCAAGATCATAGAGCAAACCTGACTTAGATTTGTACCACCAATCCACTAGACCACTTGTTGTTGTTTAAATGACTAAAACTTTGATTAAATACTCTAGTATTTATCACACAAGGTTTCAGATAAACTTTTTAAAAGACTTTTTTTTTTTGGCGGCCAAACCACGATGGGTTAGCTATCGAGAAGGGTATCATGCTCTTTGTATCGTCAAGAAGTATGATTTTCGTTTTTGAATCACTCAATTTCGTTCAGTATTGAAGAAGTTATAAACGTTTAAAGTTTACTTAGTTGCCGGCGAGTTTTCCAGTTTTCTCGCGGACCAATCACCTTTCAGGCTATTTTTCGGCCATCCCCGGAAATCATTGGGCCTCCAAATAGAAATAATATTTTTCTACACTTTCCTATCTTCATTTTGATATATTAAGGGTCAAATTTGGTTGAAAAACGATTGAGTTACGAAGTTTTGAAAATTGGCCAAACTTTCAGCTAAGAGCTTGTTGACTCTAAAAATTACAAAACCTACGTGGCGCGCAGGCCGAGTAACTAATGAGCTAACTACGTCCTTCGGTTGAATGCTGGGCGTGCCAACTCGTCGGCCGAGGAGTAAAATTTGATGTTGTCGCGTTGGGTGCGCTATTGACTTCTGTATCTTGTGATTGCGACCGAGGAAGGAACGCTCTCGGCCTCTGGGTTCTATAGCCTGAAGACAAGGCTACTAATTCTACGGAGTTCACAAGTTGTCGGAACCTGATTCGGTCAATGTGATTATATTCGTAAGAGTATAAGCACGCCGAATCGAGACCAAACTATATGGGCACAGGTACTCGAATGTGATATATGTCTTTATGGTAAACATAGTTCGGCCGTCGGAATGCCGAACCCTGAAGCTTACTTGCGAGTATCCAATCATAAAACCACTCGGCGTCCAATGCGCCGAGCAATGCAATTCGTAACACCCTACTATGCCGGAAAGGCTTAGTAAGATGACCTCTACCAACAAGGGCTCGAAAACCCTTCTCGGCCGAGACTTAGATAGATAATCGGTCGACCTCGACGCAGTGCTGTTTATCCAAACTGAAGGTGCTCCTCGGTCGGCTGATTCTGCGGCAGCAGTGCTGTTTATCCAAACTGAAGATGCTCGCCGGGTGCTTCCACAGTGCTGTTTATCCAAACTGAAGATGTGTCGGCAGGGAAAAGAAAAGGAAAAAATCTCAAGGTGCTTGAGAGGTTTTGCGCAGGGCAATTGTATGCTGAGTTGAAGGGGGCTTTCTATTGCGTAATTTCTTGTATTTATAGCACCTCGTTCCCTGAAATCCATTCGGATTTGGATTGGGAGTCCTTGTCCCATTTTACCTCTAGCTCGAACAATCCTACCCCTTCTGAGATTCTGAATTTTCCTCCTTTTGAGGCTTTATTTCTTGCTGGTCGAGAATCCTGGTCACACCTGGACTTCCTCGACCTTTTCTACTCATCTGGACTTCTTAGGATAGGATTCGGCCGACCCTGCCAGCTGGCCCGGGTTTTATTATTCGGCCCATAGCATCTGTCATTACCTTGGGCCGAGCACATCTTGCTGCTCGGCCCAACCATATTATTTTGGGCCCAAACAGAGCTCTAGGACACTTAACGAAGTTTTTAACGGAAAAAGCAAAATAATGGATGATGGACAATCTCAGTGACCATTTCTATTGATTTTCAATCTCAGTGATCAAAGTGAGGTGCTATGCAAATCTCAAAGACTATTTTAGCTAAAAAGTTTTTTTTTTAATTATTCAAATAACGATAAAGAGAGTAAATCATTCAAGGAAAATAACATTTCTGAGGCCCAATGGGCTTTAGTGTGCAAGCCCACTCTGGTCCGTCACTGCTGAAAGTGAGTCACCTGGCCTCCTCTCCACCACACGCGTCCACGTTGTAAGTCCTCACCGCAAAATCCAGCCACCAACGACAATGGCTTCACTGCCCAAATCCACCACCGTCGTCCCAATCCTCATCCTCCTCGCCGCCTCTCTCTGCCTCGCACTGCCGTCATCAAAAGACCCAGTTCCCACCCCGTGGCCCCACCAATTCCACTCCATACTGATGATGAACTACACCGGAACCCTCGAGCTGATCGACCTCTGGTACGACTGGCCCAACGGCCGGAACTTCAACATCATACGGCACCAGCTGGGATCGGTCACCTACGACCTCGAGTGGAACAACGGCACCTCCTTTGTCTACACATTGGACTCCGCCCGAGAGTGCAAAACCGTCCACGTTGAAGTGGGCATTCTCCGACCCGATTGGCTCGACGGAGCCAGGTATGTGGGTCGGCGCCTCGTGGACGGTGGTTTCTTGTGCGATGTTTGGGAGAAGGCCGACTTCATAACGTACTATGAGGACGTTGATACCAATCGGCCTGTCCATTGGGTTTTCTACACAGGTACCAACTGATTGATTAATTAATTAATTAATTGTTTTCATATTCAACTGATTTGTTTCACTCCCAGTTTTATGTTCTGCACTTATTTTATATTTTTATCTCGTAGTTCTTCTTTTAATTTATTTAATTTGACAATTAAAAATTCTTTTGACCTTAGAAGTGCCTCACTCGTTATCAAATCTTCTGCACTTAAAATTCTTTTGGCCTCTCTTACCGATCTTATTTGTTGAGACCTCGCTATTCATTTAAACTGCACGTAACAGTATAAAGATCAAATAAGTTAAATAACACCGTCAATCAAGTAGATAGGTTATAGAGAGTCTACAACGGTTTTAGTGAAGAAGATTTGAACTCGCCTTGTAGTTGATTTTGATTGGGAGTTGTGATTAGACCCCCAAAATAAATACTAGTACTCGAAAATAGTCATCTTTATTATGTTAAAATAGTCATCGCGTACTCACCTTTTTTATCGTTTTTGTTGGTATGAGTGCATAATGACTATTTTGAACTGTCGATAACATCTCGAGTATTAATTGTGATGATTATGAGAAAGGAATAATGTTGCAGGGAGGGAGGCACATGTGATGACATTTGAGGTTGGGGCAGTGCTCGAGGATGCGAAATGGCAAGCCCCTGTGTACTGCTTTGATAACAAGAAAACTGATACTGTCCCAGAAGCAGAAGCAGAAGCAGAGTATTCCATCACCGGTGCTTCTATGGATGGAGGATTTCTGAAAGGTTCAAATCTATTGGGATTCAATTTATAGTGATGTTCAGGGTTTATGTTTTCTTTCTTTTTGTTTTTTGTACTCAACTTTTATATATAAGAATAAATGATTTTATGGTTAACAATGTCGAAATTTTATATCTTTCTGGTGTAGTCAAGTTCGAATCCCATCTATCTTTAACAGGGCCAGCTTTCAAGGTGTTAGTGGAGTATGGTTGGTAGAATAACGATCATGGTTTGAACTCTAAACTTGGACATCAACTGCTCAACTCCATGCGAGGTTTTGCGAGTCTTGAGTTAACCGTTGTGTGATGACGCGGTTCATCTAGCAGAACTTTCTTTCTTTCCTCTCTAATATATAATTGGGGTCACTTGAGGTTACGGACTAGGAAGGGAGAGTTTATTATCGATAGAGAAAAAAATACGGTATGCGAAAAAAGTTCTCAAATGCGCAACACATAATGAATTTTGGTGAGATTTCTAACAGTGGCGAACGAGTTGAGTTATGGTTGATTAATTAAACAGGTTGAGTAAGGGTTTATTTGGTAAACCCGAACACGGCCCGCTAACTCGTTCGCGCTGCTTGAGTTGTATGCGTTGCAATATTTGACACAATTTTATTGGTGAACAATGCCAATTATTTTGACCAAACCGAGATTCTGTCCCAAGACATTACTACCAACGGCCTTATTAATTTACTAGTTGGTCAGTATTGGTGAGCTTTTGTTTTTTGTTTGTTTGTTTATTTTTTTATTTTTTATTTTTTTTTTCTGTTTTGATCAATGTGAGTGTTTTTCATTTTTGTTATTTTGTCATTTTTGTATTATATAATTACTTTACTCTTTTGACAAATGATATGATAACTAAACAAAATTCATTGAATTAATAGGAGCTATGTTCGAATTTGGGTGCAAATGGGGGACTATAATGTCTTAACCAACTCAGCTAAACACTCTTGTACTCTACTCTTTTTTCTTTTTTTTTTTCTTCACACGAGAATTACACAAACAATACCTAAACTAATAAGGGTGTACGCAAATACCACCAATATAAGAAATAAAAAATTTTGCCAATTTACTATCCAAAGGTGAAACTAATGTTTTAGGTCAAAACGTATCATGTGCAATATTTGTTTTCTACTTCCTCAGAGACAAGTTGTATTAACGAAATCCTTACCCAAATTTGTCTAGAATTACGGGTTTTGGTTGGTGAAAGTATCAAATAAAAAATGCTTAAGCACACAACACTAGATGAATTTATGAAATTTCTTAGGAAGGTCATACATAGGTAGCACGTCTTAAGATTATTTTATTTTGTAGTATTTGCACACACCCTCACTTGTAGAGGTTGTGTTGGTGTTACTCCATTTTTACTACCAAGAGTTCTTTTTGATTGATTAGCACATGTTGATATTTTAAAGGATCAATAACAGTCGTATTAAAATATTTTATTTAGAATGTGGGTTAATTGGCTGAAAATCCATAGAATTTGCTGTGCGCATGTACAGGATAAAACAGTCTATAAATAATATTAAAGGAGTAATGTTAGAGATATCAAATGTCTTGATTAAATTTTGTAAACTAAATAACATGAAAGTTAATTATTTAATCATTACTTAATTGTGATTAACATGCTTTTTTTTTTAAGAAAAAAAATATATAATTAGCGTGTTTATTTCTTATTTATATCACATTATTAATCTATAAATTTAATATTCAAATACAATCTCCTTACCGTGTGCTAAATATTAAAAAAGAGCTTCCATTCCTGTTTGTCCGCCTTCAAGCTCTGAGCCCACTGCCCACCCACCACACTCCTGAAACTTCCCAAACCAAAACCAGGAAACCCCTGCGTGGACTCGACTCCCCCCAAGTCTCCGTCTTCCTCAACCCCTACCTTCCTTCCCCCATCTCATCGCACGATCGCCATCGCAATTCAATAGCTCATCCGCAAACGCCACGCGAGGTATGTCAGAATCTACACTCCCAATTCCACCTCTAAATTTTCAACCTTTACTTGATTTTCCCAATTGAAAAACCCTAGAAATTTATGGGTTTTCACTGTAATTCTTCAAATCTTTTGGAAAATGTTAGTAATGTAAGTATATGATTAGTTTTTCAGCTGGGTCTGTAAGTCTTGATCACGGTAATTGTCAAAAATTGATTCTTTGTCCTTTTATGTTATGTAATTCACACTGGGGTCTCTGCATATGCATATGGGTTATTGTGGAAGAGTCTCAATTGGGGCTCTCATCACAAAGCATCGGGTTTTGTCTTCAGGAACTCAAATTTTGACTTTTTGTATATATTGGTGGAAATTCAGAGATGGGTGCTCTTTGCTGCTGTCCTTGTGGTGAGGAATTCGAAGAATACGCGCTTCCAAGCAATTCAATTTATAGGCATTGCTTGTGCCTGAGATACTTCTTCCACCAGCTATTCACTGGGGTATGTATAGAAGCCATGATGAACTCAATATTTTGTCGGTTCTTCCGTTCAGGAACCCTCTTAGTCCAAAGCTAGGAAATTTATGTAGTTTTCTGTCACCAGATGCATTTGGTTATATCAATGTTTTAGATTTATTGTCTGAAAAAGAACGGGCAGTGGACCATAAATTGGCATGTCAATTGGAAACTGAGAAGCCTGATGCAACTAAACAAATACGTCTACATTACTTCTAAAAATTTGTAATGTTAATGATGGCTACAAAGTAAACTGTTTGAAATCATCTATCAATTTTTAATTTTGGGCCAACATACTTGAACAGAAAGACATTTTCAAAGTTATTGTTAAATGAAAATGTTCTTTCCAAAATGCGTAGCTATTATGAAGGTAATCCCAATAAGATCCATGGGTTTGATTCACTTTAGTTTCCATAATTCTTATTTGTTCACATTTCCCCATGTTCACGCAGTATAGTGCACCTTTTCAAAGGCTTGATGGACGACCACCTTCATTACCTATTCAAGGAGCCACTTTGGCATCAACTGGAGTAGGCACAACACTACAAAATAATCCCTTGAATGATACTCAGCTCTCAGTTTCCAGGCCAACCCCCTTCGATGTTGATCAGAGATACTCACGTTTGCAGCGTGATGGCTTGGTCTCTAGGCGTGAGAAGTCAATGACTCATTTGCAAGAAGATACGCAACAACTGAGAAGAGGCAGTTCTGGTACCGAATCCCTGGGTTTTGGAAAGAAATGGAATGGAGATGATACTGAAGAAGATTGTAAGTTTGGCCAATCGGAGACCTCGGAAAAGGCTTTGGCAACAAAACTCGCATATGGACTAACTTACGTGCAACCATCTTCTGAAGATGAAGATGTCTGCCCTACATGTCTGGATGGTAAGTTAAATGCGCACATGTCACAGTAGCTAATAACCAATGGGCTTTGCTAGAATATGGTTTAAGATATTAATTGTCCGGTGATAATATATATTGTTGTTGCGAACTAGCGTCTTTCTTCATTGGTTCTTTGGTGTGCTGCTAATACTTAATAGTTGATGTATTTTCTTGCAGAATACAATTCAGAAAATCCAAAAATCACAACGAGATGTTCTCATCATTTTCACCTCGGCTGTATTTATGAATGGTTGGAGAGAAGCGAAAGCTGTCCAATTTGTGGCAAGGTAAGCTGGAACATGAAATTTACTTTGTAGATCAAAATATTATCGCTTATTAGTTGCCCTACCCTTGGAATTTTGCTTGGTGTTGTTTTGCAGCAGTTCTTAGATTATCTAAATCAAGAGTCAACTTACCAAGTAGTTCATACTTTTAACCGTTAGTTTCTGGAATTTCAGGAGATGGAGTTCTGCGAAAGCCCTTAACTTTTCTGTCTGATGGCAAAGCAATATAACAAATATATACATATGTGGAGCGCGGCTACGGGTTTCTGTAAATAAAAAGTTGTCTTGTTTCTAAAGGGTTCCGGAGAGGGAAGCAATTGTTCATTTTGTGTCACCAGTTGTAATACTTCGTGTTTCTCGATGCTTCGTGTTTGATTACTTCATCTTATTTCTTGTATAGATCTCCACAGATCTGTGTGGAACCATGTTTAATGATTGTAAAAATAATTGTTATGGAAACGTTCCGAAAGGGCTCCCACCATCCTATTCTTTCTTGTTTGTACCGCTTCTGATGAAAACATCTCTCCCCGAAAATAATCGTCACGAAAACGTTCCGAAAGGGCTCCCACCATCCTATTCTTTCAAGGCAATTTTTACATTGCTAATCACAAACTGTATTTCTTGTTTGCATAACGCTTGGTTACAAGTAAATTTGAGCTTCCTTTTCTCTCTTTTCTACTAAAATGCTGCAAAATGAAAAGGTTGGAATATCATAGGAAGATGGCATATCATGCTAACCACTGAGGGGTTGTTCTTTTATGTTGGTTAGAGCCTGCTTCTCCTTCTTAACCCCTTGCTCCGTCCTGTACTTGTAGCGATGTGCGCAATACAGAAAAACGCCGAAATTGATGAGACTCAAAACTGTCAGCAGCCAGTAGAAGTAATCAAACCTTCCTGTGTTGATATTCTGGGACAGCCAAGACGGCTTCTCTGAGCTTCTGGTGACAGATTTGATGATGCTGTTCAATATACTGGCAGCAAAGCAACCTAAACCGCCCGCAAGAGCAGCGTAGGCAGATCCGATACTCTTCATTGCATCTGGGGCTTCCTCATACAGGAACTCTAGTAATCCCACTATGCAAAACACCTCAGCTATTCCGATAAGGCAGTACTGGATAAGCAACCAGAATGCACTTAGATTTGGCATTGCAGATAAGAAACTACTTTCGTATCCGTGTTCTATAGCATAATTTCTCCGGTACATTTCGAATATAGCAGCCCACGCCACTGACAGGATTGAAACTGCCAGACCTATCCCCATCCTCTGAAGCTGCGAAGCACCGTGAGGATGGCCGGTGATGCGCCTGGACAGCGGGACAAATGTAGAGTAGTAGAGGGACAGTATGAGAAAGATACTGAGGCCAGGAAACACTGGCATGCATGTTACAGGGAGTTTCAGTTTGCCCATATGGGTGTTTAAGGTGAATGCCTGCTGCACTGAGAGGGTGAGATATTCTGTCAAAACTACACTCAGCATTATTGTGCATGCCGGGATCGGAATAAGTTTCAACAAGATCTTGACTTCCTCTACTTGTGTCACAGTGCATAGCCTCCAGGGACTCGGGTCTACGCCATCTTCCTTCAACTGCAGAGCTGCTTTGTCCAAACATCTGTAACACGAAAAACATCAGATATTCTAGAATCGAAGAGAAAGACCGATAAATAGGATTATTACAAAGAAAAAAGTAGATGAAAAGATACCTAAAATCGTTGGTGTGAGCTATCTTTCCACTACCCTTTACGGCAGATTGTTTTCCAGGAACCTCATACAAGCCTATCAACTCACTGCTGGAAAATTCTGCGTTCCTCTTCTTGTAGGCAGCAACCAAAACTTGAGCAACGCGCGTTAAAGGGCTGCCTCCTGGCAGTCTATGCCGGTATAGAGGGGTGCCTAGAAAGAAGACCATGTTTGATATGCCCATTGCCAATGCCAGTGACCCAAAGGCGAATCCCCAACCAAGTTTCATTTGGACATAAACTACTGCAGTGAAGGCGATAATTGCCCCAATGGTGACAGAGAGATAAAAGAAGTTGAAAAACCTATCCAGGTGAGACTTGTAATCTCTACTTCTTTCGTCAAACTGGTCTGCCCCGAAAGAAGAAACGCACGGCCGTATGCCAGCAGCTCCGAATCCAGTTATGTATAGAACCGTGTAGAGGTAAAGCATCTGCCACGGTTTTGCAGGCTCACAATTGCCCAAAAGGAGGGCTAGCTCGCTGCATTGATCTTGGTTTGGCACCAAAATGTGCATCGTTGCACATAAGGTTATTCCTGTCAAACCCTTCCATGAAAATACAGAAAGCAAAAATGTAGAAATATCAGCTCACCTATAAGCTTGTGATCGGAAAACCAATTAGTTTTTGGTTAAACATTTCCAGTGTTGGAGTGTATGTATACCTACCACAAGATAGATAGTTGTAAAGATTGCTATTGTCCAATATCGACCAAGATATGCATCAGCTAGAAAACCGCCGAGGACAGATGAAGCTTGGGAAATCCCAAGAAAATTGTTAACTGCATTTGATGAACTGCTGAAGGGTCTATGCATAACATAAAACATGAAGGCCACCATGTTAACCGAGAGACCGAAATACGCCATTCTCTCAGCCATTTCATTTCCTGGACAAATTAAAAGTAAACTTCACGACTAACCTAATCACATTTCATTACATGAAGAGCTGCATAGAAACCAAATTGAAAAATACACTACAAAATACGCAGCGCTTACCAAATATGAAGAAGGCAGCAAACCAACCGCCGGTTTTCGAAAGATCAGCAATAGGTTTTCCATGGATGTTAACTGGTGTGGTTCCTCCAGTATAACCCCGTCCGAAAGCCGTCCGCCTGTCATCGGATTCAATGAAGTACAGTCCAAGCTTCTTTCTCTGGTTTGAGTCTGGATTTCCATCTAAACTAGCTGGTGTCATCACCCCTCCTTCAGGGGACTTGATTTCTCCGGTTCCCATTGTTTTAACTCCCTACAGAAATCCCACAAAACCACAAGATTTATATGGAACTTTACACACAAGTATGAAATATTACCTGATAAAATAAATCTTAAACAAAAATGACTATTTCTTCATACCTAATTACTATAGTTTCTAGTGAATTGGATCACATCGTCAAATAGGGGGAGATTTCTGGGTGTCTCCTATTGTGTACAACCATTTTTGTCTATCTAGTCAAATGCAACGAGAGAGAAACGCACATGATTGTATAAAACTAGTGATATGACAAATTTTCTACGTACAGAGGCGGTGACATGTGAATATGTGGAATCTATTGTCTCCAAAAGAACAAATAGAACAAACAAATGAAACAAAGGAACAAACAAACTCCTGTTCGAAAGAAACAAAAGGAACAAGCAAACTCCTGTCCAAAATATATAATTAAAAGAAAATTAAAACAAACAAAGAACACCTACGTACAAGTAAGAATCCTACACATAAACTGAGTTTATTCCTCACCGTTAAGTTGCTAAGTGAAGAGATGAGTAGAACAGTATCCTGCCGTTTATGCAGACGTGAAGAACATTCTGAAAGAATGAAGCTTTAAGCCAAGTTGATAGAAGGGAAATAATCTTTTTGAGAGGTTGGTTGGCGACTGATATGATTTCAAAGACAATATTAAAGGAGATCCAACCAACTCGCGAAGAAGTGGATCCCAAGGCAATAAATGGTACCAAAGAAAAATTAACCATAAATAAATAAATGGCCAACTGTGGTGGAGGTTGGGTGTGCAGAAAGAGCCATACTTGCTGCTGAATGATGAAACGCCGCCGTACAGTTTCATTTGTCGGAATTTGATCACCGCACCGCATAACTTTGAGCATGCAGATATGGGTGGGAATTGATATCCTTCGGAGGTTTTGATGTTACATAGTTGAATGGCATATGCTTAACTGTGTTTAGTTACTTTTTTGAGTGTAGTATTTTGGATATAGATGCGAAAATGTTGGTGTTTAAATCTGTCAGACGTTTTTATGTATTTTTTACTAGGGAAGTGTTATTGGCACTCCAAAAATCTCATTCTACACTCCTCGCAAGTGTATTTTTCTTTCCTAATATAGAAAGTTTAGAGTGTTGAATGAAATTTGTAGAATGCTAACAACAATTCCTTTTTACTATTGTAATTATAGTAGCTTTCGTTTCAAGTGAGTCATTATTGTATTTTTTTGGTGGGATCAAACGGATTTAAGACTGTCCATGTTGTTGGTCAAGTGTCAATTCAATCCAACCAAGTCTATCGATGATGACATTGAGGAAGAAAGAAAGAACAAATGGAGGGGGATGGAAGTTGGACGATGCGTTTGACAAGTTCATGTGCTTCTTTCACTAACAAGTGCGGTCCATTAACAAAGAGAATAAAAAATGTGTGATGCGATGAATCATTGATTTTGCAAGCACCAAATATATAAAATTGAGTGTGATAATTAGGTGTGACATCAACTAATTTTTTTTAACTCCAATAATGGTGGGGTGTATTTCGTTTTTTGCTTTTCTTGTTATGTAATGAAAGAAATATAAAAAAAAAATACGTCTCGATTATACAATAGAATCTCTCATTTGTTAAAGAAACATACAGGAGTTAAAATCTATATAGATATATTGGGAAGAATGAAGAATGTGATTTTGGGTTAAGTGATTAAATATTGGGTGGTGTTATCAACATATCTATTTTTACCTTTCACACACTCTTTTCAATTTTCGACTGTCGAATCGAATGAATTGAACAAGAATAACGGACAAAAATTAATAAAAGTATATAAAAAGTAAAAAAAAAAAAAAAAAAGTATAAATAACTCCACCCTCAAATATATAGACGAAGACAGAGCTATAAAGCATACTGGACCAATTACATAGGCTCCAAGGGCCATCAAAGGAAGATTCTCGCACACAACCTGCCACTCAAGCAGTAAATGAGGCCACATCCAAGCATGAAAACAACAATAAGTTAAACAGGGGGTAATAGGAGATAACGGAAAAAATAAATATGGAATATGGAAGAAGAAAAGTGATGTATATTTTTAGTTATCAAATTAAATAAAAAAACAAAGAGCAAAAATAGATAGAAGAGTGTGTGAGGAGAAAAATAATGTGTATTTATTATTTTCCAAAAAAAAAAAAAAACTCTACCAAAGACTAAAAAAACCTGTCAAATGGGCAAACACTATTCATGTGGGATGGAGTTTACAAAGTTGCATTCTCCAATAGAAGTCCTTATATAATTGTCGCATCCCCGGTCCGGGCTCCCATCACATTTCAGACTCGACTTCACCGTAGTACGATATTGTTCATTTTGGGACCCTGGACCCAACCACGCCCTCACGGTTTTGTTTTCGGGAACTCAGATGAAAACTTCCCAGTGGGTCACCCATCCTAGGATTGCTCTCGCGCGAACTCACTTAACTTTGAAGTTCCTACGCAACCCGAACCCAGTGAGCTCCCAAAAAGCCTCGTGTTAGGTAGAGATGAGAATATACATATAAGGCTTACATGATCCACTTTCCTGGACGATGTGGGATGTTACACAATCCTCCAAAAAAAAAAAAGATTTTTGGATTCAATTATTTGTTTCTGAAACTAACGGGTATTAAGTATTTTAACTACATTCACTATTCTTTTTTACAATAAATAGTTGGATTGAACAAGAATATTAAACATGGCCTGAATTTTGAGATAGTTGAAATTGAGAGAAGTACATTAAAAGTTGTCCAGGCACCATGTCCTATAAATTTTAAATTAATTAGTTATGGATTATTCTAGTGATTAGGGCATTGATCTTTAATCCACTACTTCTTGAATTCAAACTTGTTAGGGGTGGACATTTAGTGGGTTTACTGACCAATTCAACCAACTCAACCAAAATTGGTTTGGTTGTAGCATGTCTTAGAAAGATTTGGGTGGGTTGGCTTGCCCATTTTTTGGGTGGAAATGGGCTTCAATTATGGCTGAGCGTATTGGGTTGGCTAAACTGGTTGAAGTCCAACCTGACCAAGCCATGCAATGCTCACCCCAAAATCTTTTATTTTCCTTTAGTTTAGAGTATCGCTTTGCAATAAGGATGGGTTCAAAAAACTAAAAATTGAAAAAAAAAACCTAGGCAGAAAACAAAGCCGAAGCTAAAAAAAGCGAACAAAAAAAAAAAAAAACCAAATTGAAATCTATTGGTTTGGTTTTGAATTTAGTAGCTCAGAAACCAAACTGAAATCTGTTGGTTTGGTTTTAGATTCAGGAGTTCAAAAACCGAACCAAACCGAAGTATTTCAAAACATTTTGAAACTTAATAATCATTAATAGGAAAACTAATGAAAAATGCTTGAAAACTTTGAGTTTTAAAGATGAAGATAAAATAAATAGTAAAGTAAATAGTACATGATTGATTTTTTAATGTAAAAATATAGTTTTTTCGTTAAAGTTTTTTAATATATCTATACCATGAAACGGCGTCGTATACCTAAATACCCTTATCCCCCTTCAGACTTTGGCAACCCTAATCTACGCCCCTCTCCTTCCCAACCTCCGCGAATTCCTCTCTTTCACTCTCATAGCACTCCTCTCAGCCTTCGTCGTCTTTGAAGAATCGAATGATCCAGAGTTCGCCGAGGAGGAACTCGCCGTCGCTCATCCATTCGCTGGCGCTGACTCGCAACCTCGCTGCCGCTCGCCGTCTCACTCTCACACCTCGCCGGCTTCTCCTCGCCGCTTATCCAGAACTCAAACCTATAACGTATTCCCTCTCTATATTTTCGATTTCATTTTTGCATCTTGTCTATTTATGTCTTTATTCTAGGAATTTTTGTTTCAGATAATTTTTGAGATAATTTTATTGCTGATATTTCTGATTCTTATGGACTTGCGGGAAAATATGGGTGAAGGTTCCTGTAGGATTAAATCTTGAGATTAAATTTTTTATTGATTAGAAAGTGTGGGAAAGTATGGCCTATGGGTAAAGGTTGCTATAGGATTAAATCTTCAAGCTTTCATGATGAATTACGATTCTTGTATCTGTGAAGTGTGAATTATTCCTTCTCCAGTTTGCTTTTCATTTTTTTCTTATATAAGCCTGGATTCCTCCAGATCACTCTTCAAAAGAATAATGTCATCATGGCATCAGATAAATAATAATCAAATGAATACTACAATTTTGTCGAACACCTTAAGGGTACATTTTTTATTTTTTATTTTGGATTGGAGATGCTTAAACTCTACAAGTATGTGATTGGGGAAATAAGGAGCATGGGCTTTTCTTTTTCTTTTTTTTTTTTTTTGAAAGCAGGAGCATGTGCTTAATCAGTAAAGAAAACAAGGTGCAAGTCTCTGGTGCAGCTCTGTGTTTTTTTTTTTTCGCTTTTCTCTCGGCCTAGTAGTACCTTAAGATCTATAATGCCCCGTTTCTTGTTTTGACAAAATCGCCATGACAAATACAACACAATTGGTTGGTTTTAATTGGCTGAGTTTGGATTGACAACCCAACCTCAACCTGATCTAATCATGAAATTTAAATTTTTCTTATTTTTAGGTTTTTTAGCCAAAATGTCCTTGAAATTGGCATAACTTCTCACTTGGGTCACTGAGAATTGAAATCGATAGAAGTGTTCCTTAGTTTGTCCACCATCAATTATTTTGGTCATTTTGTGAAAAATCTCCTTAAAGAAGTACTAAAATGACAAGAATACCCTCAATTTAATAAACAATTGGCCATTTTAACTTAAAAAACCTAAAAATAATAAAAAATAAATTTTATGATTGGGTTGGGTTCAGGTTGGGTTGTTAATTCAAACTCAGCACATTACAACCCAACAAATTTTTAGATCTTAAGGGTACTACCATACTAGGGCAGTAGAGAAGGGAGAAAAAACGTAGAACTGCCTCAGAGGCTTGCCCCTTATTTTCTTTACCGCTTATTCTTACACAGGTACTCTTCTTCTTCTTATAGCTTCATTGTTCAATTTTCCCAACCCCATACTTCTAGGGTTTAAGCTTCGCTAATCCAAAAATTGTAACTTGTGAAGTTGCCCTTAAGGTGTTCGACAAAATGTTTGAACGAGTATTCATTTGGTTATTATTTATCTCATTGCTTATCTTTCTTTCTTTGATTTGTAGAAGCGCTGCATGAGTTTGTGAACTGAGCTAGGAGATAGATGGAGGCAAAAAACTCGGGTAAAGTTGGTGTGGCTGAGGGCTACAAACCTCCACCGGAGTTTTCCGAAGTTGCTAAAGAACCACTTCTGGATATCAATATGAACGACTCCACAGAGCTTTGGCTCATTTCTTGGCCGAAAGATCAAGTATGCTGCTTTTTGGTTTCGGGGTTCTTTTCTAATACTTTTATTTAGGACTCTTGTTTTCATGTTCCAGTATAAAGAGCAATGCCATAGTTGTAAGTTTGTAGTTTTGAAAATTGGTTTCTTGTTTGGGAATAAGTTTTGCAGTGAACTAATGGGAAGACCCAATTTTTGTTGAACGTAATGTTACCCTCTTAAGTACTTATACCAGCTAGTTATCAACTTGTTTGTTGCCCTCTTAAGTACTCATACCAGCTAGCTGTTAGGAATTGACTTCCATGGCCTCGTGGTCCTTACAGTGGAAGGGTAACGTTAATTTCATTAGAATCAATGGTGGTGGTGTTGTTTTTAATGTGATCGTTGTCGGTTATCGAGTTTCTATTTATTATTTGATGGTGTTGCAGAATCCAGATTTTAGCCAAGAAGTTTCGCTCAAGCTTGGTCCTGATGGAGAGTTGGGCAGTTTTGTCGGTCCATCTGGTAATATTACATAAACATTAGTGATAGAAGAGGCATGTTAGAGTTATAGATACACATATCATTTATCTATATAATTTCAATAGCCCAAGGAGTTCATTTGGGTATGACTCTGCAATGCATATTTCTGTTCTACTATTGAGTGCTGATATGAAGTTTCTAATGCTGCTAGGCAAAGAATATGATCTCCAAAGTACAGCTCAAAAGCCAGATGCTACAGTTTTTGTTTCGTCTGTGTCAGGCACAAAAGTTGGTATGCTTGAAACCTTTCATATTAAGAATCTACAGGACACATTAATCTCAGTTTCAGTTTTTATGCTTACCTTCAGTTTCTTAATGTTTAGCAATTTGGACTGATCCTTGGCATTACAGTTTGATGTTCTGTCAAAATATAACCAATTTGAATTATGTTGCGCTGAGCTTGTATCTAGCTGAATATGTTTAGGTTTAGGTTCTTCATATATCTTGTTTTCTTAACCAGTACAGGTGATCAGTAGCTTCCCTTTTTATGTGGTACACGTGAAGTTTTATTATGAAGTCTAGTATTTAGCCTTGCATTTGCTTTATGGTATTTTAGTCATAATGATTGAGATGACAAACAGTTTTCTTTGTGGATAATATCTTGATAAAATTGTTGTTATCGTGATTGTTGCCAGTGGCTGTCTTTACCTGCAATGACCTTTGTGCTTCCTGCTTTGGTACTATCATATATTGAATTTGTTTATGATTTGGCAGCTGGGAAGATTTCACGGAATGTTTCTCTCGTGTTTTATCCGGAACCTAGTGAACTTGAAGAAAAACTAAAGTCCAAACAGTTGAAGAAAATTCAGCAGATATCATCTGGAATGTCCCGTTCTCCCCATAGTTTTGCAACTCCTACACGAAGTTCTATGCCGACAATGTCACGGACAGTAGGTGGGCATCCAACCCCCACTCATAGCAGCAGACAAAAAAGCTCCATATCTGGTGTTGGGGAGCCATCACAGCTTCGGAAGAAAAGGCGTGCACCTGAACCTACGAGGTCCATGAACCACTCTGGCCAAAATTCAGGACGACGCAGTGGAGTCACCGACTGAGGACAACGTGATAGCGCAGTTGCTTCCTCGGGACAACCTCATCGAAGTAGATCAAGGAAGAAAATCGAACATGAGAATTGATGTCGCTATCAGAGGGTTTTCTTTGTTCAAAATACGTTATGCAAAATGAATCTTGATGGAGGATTAAGTAATCGGTACTCTGTTGTTCTTGAGTTTGTGCAGACACTTGAAGCAATATTATAAAGTGTGCTTCAATTTTTTTGCTTCCCAGGCTTCTAATTATTTGAAGTTTGTAGTTCAATCTCTATTAATTATTAAAGCCTAATTTCAAATCTCTCTTGATTGGTTCTTCTTTTGCTCTTGGGTCTCTTCTGGATTTTATTCGCGCGCCATAGTATCCGGTACCGCTAAAGCCCATTTATTATTTGTTCCTTCCATCCGTATAATGCCTTAGGGTATTTTTTTTTTTCACAAATAATAACATTAATGGGTTAAATTATCAATTACGAGGAGAGAATTTGTGAGATCGAATTTGCACCACTGGTACACAGATGTGATTGCTTTCTATCATTGTGGTAAGAGGCCATATGCGCCTTATGGGTATCTTACCAACTCTTTGATGCCCATAATTGCTATGAGCATTATGCAAACGCAAGTTAACAAACCTCCTATTTTGATCAACTGACTTTACCTGCATGTGCAGAGTTCAGTTTTTATGATTGAAGTTATGGGTTATTCGTATCCATATTGTTACGAGAGTCTTAATGGAACACTTCTGGTACTATTCAATTTTAACGTTAGAGATTTCTTTTGCCTAAAAAATCACTCTTTACTTACATCTTTATTTTATCATTTTGATTAGAACAAAAATTTTTAAGAACTTTTCGTTAGTTGTCGTTATTATTATCACTATTTGCCCCAAAATGCAGTGGGGAAGGAATTTCCTTCGGAGGCAGATTGTTTGCCCTCCTATTTAGATGCCTTTCCAATCCCTTTCTATTTGTACGATCACGGTTAAGCCACGTCAACATTTTATATTTCTTTTTGTCTTATTATCTTTATAAAAAAAATAAATATAAAATATGAATGTAGTTTAATCGTGATCGTATAAAATAAAAGAAGATGGAAAGGGCACCCATACAGGAAGAGGCAGATAATCTGCCTCCATTTCCTTCACCCATGGATAACTTGTCCTGACAATGACATGATGATTCCTCCCGCCATTCGCTCCCCGGGCCCGTGTATCAATGATTCAAAGCTCCAGTTGGCAGTTGGCAGTTGGCAGTTGCTACATATGTTTTTGTCGTTTTCCTTTTTGTAATCCCAACTAGGCAGCAGCCACGTGCTAAATTGATATAAATCTCCCATAACCAATTAAAACCACACACGTGTACGACAAACCACCTTTGTCATATACCCACTGTTTTCCAAATCCAACGAGCGCAGCTTTACACTTGTAAACAATTTTTCCTTGCCTGATTTTGATAAAGCGGAGAATAAAAGTTTGAACTTGTGATACTAAAAGCTTAATATTACGGTTTTATTGTATTTTTCTTTATTGATAAGTGAGAGGTCAAAAGTTTGATTCTCGTAAAAAATGAATTTAAACCATATCATTATTGGTCTATTATGAAACTTAGCTTACTCTCTCGAGCTTAGTGTAGATAATATAATTCATTTGAAAAAAAAAAAAAAGAGTTTTAACGAAAAACTTTCCATATTGTTCACTTTTAACGAAAAATCATATTTTTATCTTTTCCTGGTACTATTCACTACCTACTTATTTGTCACTTTTCATTAAAACTAATTTTTTATTTTTTATTTTTTAACTTTTAGTTAGTTTTCTTAAAAAAAATAATGAAAAACCATGTCAATTTAGAGAGTAGTTTTCTCTCTATTAAAATAATAATAATACTAATATTTTTTTCCAGCAAAAAATAGTAAAATAATATTTGAAATATTTGTAGTGGAAGCGGACTATCCAGAGCTATATATGCTCACGAGTGTGCCTCGCCTTACTCTCACACTGCTCGACTAGAGTTTCGGGTCTTCACTGTCCTCCTCCTATCTTTTCTGCCTCCCATTCTGCAATCAGGTACGAATCCCTAATTCCCTCTTTCTTGTACCAAATCCTTCGTCTTTACCTTCTCTCATGCATTGTCTTTATGCTTCAATTTTTCATTAATCTGATGCCATTTTAACTAGATTCTCGTTTCCCTTTCACTCCTTGATTGTTTGGTTGCCGCGAAAATCGAAGCTCTGATTCAATTTTCCCGCAACCGGACGGAGAACTTGTATAAATTCTTTTTTTTTTTTGTGCTCAAAGTTAGATCTACTCGAAATTTACTGTTAAAAGTTGTGAAATTTCTGTTGGGTTTTCGTTAGAACTGGTGGTGAGTGGTAGTGTTAATTTAAAAGCTGCTAATTTTCTGCGTTTCTGTGTGAACTTTGCTGTTAGGTCCCTGTAAGTGGACCAAATTATGGTGACAATGGATATGGATAACAAGCTTTTCAGTGTGGGGCTGATGATTTTGGCCACTCTGGTGGTGGCCAAGCTGATCTCAGCGCTTATAATGTCTCGATCTGGGAAGCGTCTTCCTCCGGTGGTGAATACCTGGCCTGTGTTGGGAGGACTGCTCAGGTTCTTGAAAGGCCCCATTATCATGCTTCGTGAAGAGTACCCGAAGCTCGGGAGTGTGTTCACATTGAATCTGCTTAACAAGAAGATCACTTTCTTGATTGGTCCTGAGGTTTCTGCCCACTTCTTCAAGGCATCGGAGGCTGATCTTAGCCAGCAGGAAGTATACCAGTTCAATGTGCCCACTTTTGGCCCTGGAGTTGTGTTCGACGTGGATTACACGGTGAGACAGGAGCAGTTTAGGTTCTTCACGGAGGCTCTCAGGGTAAATAAGCTTAAGGGATATGTGGATCAGATGGTTACAGAAGCAGAGGTAAGTGTTTCGATTGAATATCATTGTTTGATTTGGAATTTGGCTGGTTTTGTTGTTTATCTGATTGCTTCAGCCTTCAACTCGTTTAGTAATTTATTTATGTTTGTAAGAGAAGATACTTTATATTCTTAAGAGAGTAGCAATATGAATGTGATCTACGGCACAATTCTCTTCCACTCGCCCAAATAGTATCCTGGGACTGCAAATTTTGCAAGGAACATTGATTGGAATGAGAGTCTTTAAACCAGATGTTTTTCTCTTTCCTTAATGTTAAATTTGATTAGAAAGATAAAACCGTAGCAGCTAACCTGAATTTGTTTTTAACTGAAAGGACGGTAGTGCTTTACGAGTCTCCCATGAGCTTGATTCACCTGGGAAGATTTCTCTGAGTCTCATTTTATATTTTCGTGGGGTAGTCATTTTCAAGTGTGGGCAACTAGCATTGCGTGCTCCTTAGGATATTTTACTCTCTTTTCTGAATTTAATCAGATTCAGATTGTGCAGACCACATGTCAAATATATGATTGTTTCTTATGTGAGAGGAAAATGTACGCATTATAGACCCTTCCCTGAAAAATAGAAATAAATAAAGGGAATTAGTATGAACCATGAAGTGACTTAACAGTGCTTAAATCTTCAAGGAAAATGGAAAACTATGTGTGTCTGTGTTTTGGGGAACTTTCCGGTGAGTAAAGATGGACTATGTTCTGGTTGGTTCTTCAATCATGCTGTGATTCATGTTGCGAGTACCCCTCAGTATTGGCATAGTTATTTTCATTAACTTCTTATACAAAATATGTATCGCAAAGGGCATGGTTAGTTTTTCCCTTCAGGTTTCTCTGAATCTGAAAGGAAATAGAACACCCCAAAACATCAATTAAATGCAAGGGACGACTAATGCTTTCATCATTTCCTTCTATAGTATTACTCAATCTAAATACACAAATGCTTGTGCTGTTTAAATTGTGCATTGTTTCTTGTCCATGATGTTGATTCTTGTCTTCCAACTGTACCGTGCAGGATTACTTTTCCAAGTGGGGAGACAGTGGCGAGGTGGACTTAAAATATGAGCTGGAGCATCTGATCATATTGACCGCCAGCAGATGCCTCTTGGGTCGTGAAGTTCGTGATAAGCTCTTTGATGATGTTTCCGCATTGTTCCATGACCTTGACAATGGCATGCTTCCTATCAGTGTCATCTTCCCATACCTTCCCATCCCAGCTCACCGTCGCCGTGACCAGGCCCGAAAGAAGCTTTCAGATATCTTTGCAAAGATCATAAATTCCCGTAAGCGTGCTGCACAGTCTGAGAATGACATGTTGCAATGCTTCATTGACTCAAAGTACAAAAATGGCCGACCAACAACTGAATCTGAGGTCACTGGCTTGCTCATTGCTGCTCTCTTTGCTGGGCAACACACTAGCTCTATCACTTCCACTTGGACTGGGGCCTATCTCCTCCGTCACAAGCAGTTCTTATCTGCTGTGTCAGAGGAGCAGAAAAACATAATGAAAAAGCATGGAAAGAAGATTGATCATGATATACTGGCAGAGATGGATGTCCTGTATCGTTGCATCAAAGAAGCTCTCAGATTGCACCCTCCACTGATCATTCTGCTGCGAAGCTCGCATAGTGATTTCAGCGTAAAAACCAACGAGGGGAAGGAGTATGATATCCCGAAGGGGCACATAGTAGCCGCGTCACCATCTTTTGCCAACCGGCTTCCTCATATTTACAAGGAGCCAGACACCTACGATCCTGATAGATTTGCTGCTGGGAGAGAAGAAGACAAGTCAGCAGGGGCATTCTCATACATCTCGTTTGGAGGTGGCAGGCATGGATGCCTTGGTGAGCCTTTTGCATACCTACAGATAAAGGCTATATGGAGCCACCTGCTGAGAAATTTTGAACTGGAGCTGGTATCACCATTTCCCGAGACGGATTGGAATGCCATGGTTGTGGGTGTGAAAGGAAAGGTGATGGTGCGGTACAAGCGTCGGGAGCTTTCAGTTGAATAATGGCAATGACTTTTTGGGTGATCTGCGGGTTTAAATTATTTGTTCTCTTAGGATGTTTTCGGTCCTTGTATGTGTTGATTTTCTTCCTCGTTTTGCAATTAACTGTTGATGATTTGCACTTTTATCAGATTATCGATCTTGCTTAGTGCCATTAATTTATGATGCACATTGTAGCTCTCAACAGAACTTTGGATTTACTTCCAACTCTCTGGCTAGCCGTACTCGTTCGAAGTTCTCCTCAGCCAAAACAATAGGGTTACATGTATACAAGAAATTAATGCACAAATCCAGCTTAAATTATACAATGTAATCCTTCACTATACAGATATACTGCATGAAAAGTTAATTTTACAAAAAGCTTATCAAATAATTGTGAACTCTTCTACTTCGCAGAAATAAAGTTTCTACCTCAAATTTGATGGTATTTAGGGTAATCTGTCGACTTTCTCAGCTAATCGATATTTCTGACATCCGGAGTAAGAAACTCTACGATAAATAAGCCGTATTTGTTTTAACAGCTAATCGATTTCCTGTGAGAAACGTTGAATTTGAAAGGAGATCAGTTTGGTATGATCTTGATGAGCTCAATATCGAACAGAAGAGTTTTGTCTATCAGCCCTTGGTTCCTCAGCACGAAATCCAAAGCTCGTTGGCCCTGTAACGCATGAACATTGCACCTTGTAAGAACAAGGCGGAACTGGATTACATGAATCGGCAGAAAGACATAAGATTTACCGAAAATGTTGTCGGCCTTGGGCCACTCTTGTTGTAGTCATTGTCTGGATATCCCAATTCCGGGGGCACTATGATCCTGCATCACTGTGAGCTCCATTGTGAAATTTGCAAATAACATTCAATATAACTGCTTAAAAGTTCCTTAAGTAAATACAACGAGCTACGGAAAAGAATATGCAGCACCTTCTAATGCCTCCAAGAGCCATGCCTGTAATGGCTTCCTCAAAAGCTGGTATTACCTGAAGATAACCACGTCATCATTAGAGGCCACAGATCAGAGCATTCAAGACTGTTTCGTTCGATTGGGTCACGAATTTCTCACCTCTTGAGATCCTACCCTGAATTTGAAAAAGGCCTTGTCATCACCCTGCATTTGAGAAACCATGGAACGGAATCTGTTAGTCGGTTAGTTAAGCTTATGTGATACCAAGTTAACCGATGAGAAGTATTCCATACCTCAAATGAACCGCCCTTTGTTTTATTTCGAGCTTCAAAGATACGTCCATAATATCCTATGGTGTATCCATCCCAATCAACCTGAAATCCATCCAATCAACCAGAAATATGCTCAAACGTTTGTCTACGACAGAGACAAATTCATTGCACAAAATTGGCTTAATCCTAAACAGAAACCCTAGCAACATGTGAAAGCTTGAAAGTGTGCACTCGGAGAATGAGTGGCTTACCACAACGGTCTCTCCCACCTTCGGTTTGGGGCCATCTCCTACTCGCAAGTCCTGCATTTCTTCTTAGATAAATCATTCAACGAAATAACTAAAGCAAACTTCGGAGAGCTTGAAACTCAATAAAAACAAAGAGGCTAAACTTTTGTATGTTCCAGTAGTAGTTAACCTTGTACTGAAGACCTGATTCAGTTTCCGTATAGTCCGGATAACTCATTTTCGACTTGCCATAGTCCTTCCCCCTAAGTGCTGGCACTGAAAGTAGTTCCAAAACATTCACAAATGCAACAAACAATGTGAGAAAAAGCAAAAGTACACATCTCTCTCGTCACATGATATGTTTTATGCCACTCTCTCTCCTCAAGTGACACATTTGTGCATGTCTGTCTCATCACATGATATGTCACGTGAGGAGAGACATACGAACAACAGGATATACACTCGTTGCACTTAAGATTTTGCCTGGTACACAAATCATACAAATGTATATGACTATGACTTATGAGCATGGTTATTCAAGGACGGCGATTTCGACACTCCCCGTATTTTTAGCCATCCGCACTCCAAACTGAATAATTTACGATGTTATGTTTTGGCACTCACAGGAGGATTGCAGAGGCTTAAACAGGAGAGTGTCAAAATCGCTAACATTTCGGGCAATGGAAATAGGAAATGACTCACTGTCAGTAAACTGAGACGCGAGGGCAATTACGTCCTTTGAAGCATTACAGAAAGCTGCAGCCACCATGCCAATCGATGAAAACACAACACTTCTTCGCTCGATAAGAATGCTTCCACCTTGATCAAAGATTCAAAATTCATTCAAAATTTGACCAATTTACTAATTAAAATTAGATATCCCATGGTTGATGTACTAACCGCCTGCACCTGAATCAGAAAACTTCTCCGCTTCAGGAAGAAGAAGAGATTGGGGTCCGCGGCGTCTCTGGCGCATAGAAGGGAAGGTTAGCACGAAACGACGTATCGGGGTTGAAGATTTTCCGACGGGTGAGGACGAAGGCCGCGGTGGAGACCGGACGGCTGAGATTGAAGACATTGTAGGTGTGGTGCTACTTGACTAGGAGAGAAAAGGGTGGGCCTGTGATGTGGTGACTGGGGAACCAGGGAATGCGTTTCGCGGCAAGATAACGGCCTCAACTTGTCTGGCTCAACCCCTCTATTCTTCTATTTTCTTTTCTCCTTTAAATTAAATATAATACATACATATATATATATATATATATATATAATATGGGATGTGCTATCTGATCCCTTTTTACTTCTCATACACCCTTATTAATTTTTGTTCGTTGATCTTCTTCATTTCATACGATCTGACGGTCGAAAATTAGAAAGATATGTGAAAAGTAAAAAAAGATGTGAATATCATACCCCTATAATATATATATATATATAAATTTTTTTCTTTTATATAATGTTACAAATAACAAGTTTGATATTAAATTATTATGACTAACTTATCGCTTGAATTAACCAGCTCTATCTAAAATTTTTTTGGACGTGTAAGAAAAATAAACATTTACCAAGTTTTAGTTTTTTATTTTTTTGCTGATTTAGACCAGACAGTCAGATCAAAGTGTTCGCCACTTGTACCATGTTCAGTTTTCTTTCCGTTAATCGAATAATATTGTCAATCAAAGTAACAGTCACGAATAACATATTTCAACAACAATTCAGATTGAGAATTCGATAACATAATATTTTTCTAATTATTAGTGTATTTTCGTTCTTCCGTAGGTACATAATTCAACAAGGAAGTCCATACACTACATACTTGAATCTCTCCATTAGTTTGAAGGTAACCTAAAATTCGGCGGTCGGATTCAAGAATTTTAAGCTTGACGGTTCAATTTGCGAGCAGAAATGGAAAATCTTGCAGAGACTAACACCGAGCATCATCTACTTGATGGCCCATAATTCTCAAATCCAAATGCAAAGTACATTTCGGAAGGTCTACTAGCTTCACCTTCATAGGGTGGGGGAAGGAAAAAGAAAACAATGCCAAACTCACAGGACGACAACCCCCACCAGCTTTATTCAACTCACACAAGTAGTTCTCACCCACATCTTGCATCTTACGGACTAACCAAATTAAGAGAGTTGGCCTTCTCTTGCAGGGTGTCTAGCAGGCTGTCGAAACTCTTCTTGAAAGAATCCACTCCCTCAATTTCGAGTTGGTTCCCAACGTAGCTCCAGTCGATGCCTAACTTCTCCAGTGCACTGTAAATGCCTTCAGCCTCGGATACATTTGAATCAATTGTCCTTGAAACTGTGCCGTGGTCGACAAATGCTTGGAGAGCTTGGTCTGGCATGGTTGAAACCTGCAAAAGGAAAGTCGGCATCAAATATTAAGCAATATGAATCAACAAATCAACATTGACAGATTAAAGTTTCAATTCTGAAGTATATTTAAGCAACTAATATATCATCACAGAAATAAAAACCATAATAATAATAACAATCATCAAGCACCAGAGATCAGGTTGGACTATAGGATGGCTCACCGTGTCGGGGCCTATGAGAGGAGCAACATATAAAGTATCGGGGTAGGCAGGATTCTTGACGCTAGTTGAAGCCCAAAGCAGCCTCTGCTTCTTAGCACCTTTTTTCACCAAAGCCTCCCATCTAGGGCCAGAGAATTTCTTCTGGTAGAGTTGGTATGCCAAAGCAGCTTGAGCTACTGCAGCCTGAAACAGTTAACTCATCAAGTTAGCAAATCTCACCTTCAAGGCTTTTGTTCATGATTGAAAAATGAGTTGAACTTCTGATTTTGATTTACCTTTCCTCGAAGGTCGAGGGCCTCTGGAGTTCCAATCTTTTCAAGCATCTTGTCAATGAGGGTGTCCACCCTACTGACAAAGAAGGAAGCAACACTTGTGACTCTGGAAAGGTCACTCAGTCCAGAAGCCTCAAGGCCATCCAAGTAAGCATCCATCACTGCCTCATATCTACTAAGTGAGAATATAAGCTGTGTGTACACATTAAGAGAAAGTATGAGTTAACACTTTTACAATAAGGGACTAAATAATTCAGTCGAATGAGAGATGATGCCACAAGAACTTATGGCAACTATAGCGCATCATGTAGATTTCATTTACACTATCAAAATAATCACCCATGAAAAGCCCCACCATACCACCACATAAACTTATGTTCTATTTAGACACACTTCTGTACGACTTTGCCAGCCATCTATTCTTGGTGAAGCAAAGATTCAAAGAATTTCGCCCCAAGAGGAAAAAATTATTATAGTAGAACTGAACTTACAGTCACATTGACACTTATGCCATTTGCTATAACTTCCTTAATTGAAGGAACGCAAGGAGCAGTTGCAGGAATTTTTATGTAGACATTAGGACGAGCAACTACTTTATGTAGCCATTTTGCAGCATCGACAGTCCCTTCAGTGTCATCAGCAAGTCTGGGAGAAACTTCAACAGAAACATAACCATCACCAGCATCAGTTTGATCATAGATTGACTCAAAAAGTTTGCAAGCATCTTGAATGTCCTTCACCACCAGTTCCCAGTATGCACTTTCAATGTCTTTTCCTGAATGTATAAGTTCCCTGTAAATTCCATTAGCTTAAGTTATTATCATATGAAGAAGGTATATCAGGGGATATGCTGAATACCAATTTTCAACTTTCCCATCCCAGACGCCAAGAGCTTATAACCAGAAACTCAACAGAGTTCCATCTGCAAACATTCTATATATTATTTCTAATGCGGTACGATCCTCTACTAGCACAACTGATAAATCTATAAAGTCCAATAGATTATACACGCCATTCCACTTAAAAATACCCCAATTACAACCCCTTCCAACGAAGAAAAGCATTGAAAATACCTGAATTGATCATTGTAAGCATTTGAAGTTGAGATTGCTTTCTGGAAAATCTGCAATCATACATTATACAGAGATAGTTATATCGGATTGCGGATAACACACGAAAACTGCAAAAAGACATGCTTAAAGAAATAATACTCGGCTAACATTTTGACAGTTTCACTTCCAACCCCATTTCTCATTTGATCTAAAACCAATAAAACCATCATCCATGCATGTCAACAAATTAAGTAAAGTTCAAAAAACAAAAAAGAAACGAGTAATCACCGCTGGGTTACTGGTTACACCTCGAACCCCGCTTGCGATAAGTGGAAGCAGATCCGTCACGGGCCGGCAAAGGTTATCATACCAGGGACTCTGCCCTTCCTTCTCGTACAGATCATGCAGATACGTTCTCTTCATCTGACTTCCATTTCCATCACTCTGAGAACACCTCACACTACCAATAAAAGAAGGCCAAAAAATAAATAAACAAACTTTTCGATTCAAATTTCACAATCAATCAGCAACCCAGAAGAGTAAAGAACACAACTTTCAATACAAAAAATAAAAAATCAAGCAAATGAAACAAAGCTCAAATCCAGCTTCTCATAAAAAAATTAAACCTCGACAATATGCAATCGGAACAAGGGGGAGACTTACACCAGAGAGCCCCGGAGAGAGGGCTTGCTTCGCACGGAGAGCTTGGAGGAGGAGAGTTTGGAGTTGAAGGTGGCGGCGGGGGTGGCGAGGAGGCGGATCAAACACTTGGGCTGCGGCGTTCTGGGGCTGAAGGTTGAGGACAAGGAGGAAGCGGGGGTGGGATTGGAGAGCTTGGAAATGGAAGCCGCCATTGCTGGATCACAGAGAAAGGGGGTTGGTGAAGACGCGAAGACTGATTGATTACTGAGGAAAGGACCGTTTATATTTATTTACGACACCGACGATGAAATTGTTTATATTTTTGTAAGTTTTTGGGGTTAAATATTTTCGGTGATTTTCTGTAGACTCGAAACGGCATGTTGAAGACAAGATCTCAATCGCGACGATGGTAGCAGTTGCTAGTAATATGTTACTATACAAATAATTAGATAGGTACGTTAAAAATTAATAATTTAAAAAATAAAATTTTTATTTAAAAATATATGATGTATCATTTATGTTCCCATCATAATTTCTCCTTATTAGCTAGCTGCTGCGTGGCTTTCACTCTGCAGGTGCCAACGCTTACTCAATCAAGACGTCATTTTTTGTTAATTTTAAAATATATTGATGCTGTTGAAGAATGTGGTGCAATATTAGAAAAGAAAATAAGTCACAAAGTTTGGAACACATTTAATTTTGGATCATATAAATATTAACATTTGTAGTATAAATTCAATTTACTAAAAATGCCACCTGCAATGCGAGAAACAGCACACGATTTTCGAACATGCAAAACCTTGAAAGGTGAATTGCGTTTGTGTTTGGTCACAATTGGTAGGGAAAGATTTGAGCACAAAATTTTGAGGTTAAAAGAAAAATTGTAACCATTTGAATTAGAAACTTTTTGTATAAATATTATCATGAGTAACACGTGGTTGGTTCAAATGTTGGCTTTTTGATTGTGATTTTATAAATTCAAATGAGGACTCTCCAAAATTTTGGACCACAATATTTGACATACTCATTCAATGTTTGACAAGGAAAACCACAATTGGCTGAGGCACACTCGATCTGCACTATAATAGTTAATTATTACATTGGTGGAATCCGGATTTTTAAATAATGGGATCATAATATTAACCGAAAAAACTTTATTAGACCATTTAATCGAGCACTTAGTAAGCACATGTCAAGTCCTGCCAACATATGTCGACAACTACTATTATGTAAAGTTTTGTCGAGGGTGGATGTAGGATATTGCAGAGTAATGTTGAAGATTGCTAAGGTTTGTCAACTAATGTATTTCATCGAGCACATAGTGCATACAATAGAGCGCACGCAAGAAGGGAGAAAAGGGAGATATAAATGACATAAGAAAATAGAAGAAATAGGAAGAGGAGGTTGTAATTTAGTTTTCCTTAACCGTTTATAGAGGTCAAAAATACAAATACGCAAATAAATATACATGGGGTTTTTGAAGTTGTTGGGGTCAAGGGTAACCAATGTCCTCATGCTGATTCCGTCACTGGAAATTGTTATTGGCAGTAAAATAATCTCATTTTGCAATCAAAACTTCCTATAATTTGAATAAAAAAACTACACTTGTGAAGAGTGTAAAATAAAAATTTTAAAATGTCAAAACCGTTCCTAATATATTTTATATTAAAAAAAATTTCGACCCCTAATTATAACCGGTCACAATCAAACTGTGTTACCAATTCATCGTGCTATAAAGTGCTGTATACTTTATGATAACAGGTAATGTGTCATTCATTTATGTAATAACAGGTAACTTAATTAAAATATGTGATAATAACATATTAGGGTATATTCATTACAAAGAGACGTAACATACATCCAAGCTAGAGGTCAATTTTGGAGGAATTTACTAAAAGCCGACCTGCCCTAGCATTTTTTATTGAACTTATTTATTTGACACACCGCTTTTGGATTCAAATCTTTTATTTCTTTTAATATAGTAAAATCGTAAATTACAATATATATATATATATATATAGATAGAGAAAGAGCTTAAATTCAACCTCTTTCCTTAACGTAAATAATGGAAAGAGATCCCTTCCGGATCTCTTCCATTAAAACTCATCAATCAATTAATTCGGATTTTTGAAATTTGATCAAACAACTAAAATTATTATTACTTTTAAAAGGATCCCTACCTGTAGCTGCTAAATCAAATTTCAAAAGCCCGAATGAATTGATTTGTGGGCTTTGGTGGGAAGAGATCCGTCCTGTAAATAATATAGTATCTTAAATAAAAATATATATATATATATAATAAAATCGTTTGTAATAATTAAAAAAAAAAACCGAAATGATTTTTTTTTTTCCTGCTTCGGATCTTTAGCCACTACGAAAAATGTACTTTTTCAGATTTTAGTAGCTTATTATTCTAATAGCGACTTGAGGATAGCATGTTAATAAACAAATATATACTGGTTTAAAACATCGTCATGCTCACAATCGCAGCCATGTGGATTGATGTTTGTGGATGTGGTAGGTAGGTAGAACAGAACTTTGAAGGTTGTATATAATTATAATCTAATTACAATTAGTCATAGGGCCAAAATGGATGAGAAGTTGTCTTTATATTGCTTGAAATTGACTTCTCGAATTAAATTGATTCGTCAAATATTTTACTTTAATTAGTTGCTTGACCCCCATCAAATCCGACCCGACCCTTAGGATAGCTCAAGGGCTGAACTTCTTTCCCATGGTGTGCAAAGTCCAACGCCTAGCAGTGCGATATTTGTTTGAAATATCATCACCGTAGCGTTTTTTATGCGCAAGTAACTCTTACTTCCTACCGACACTTAAAATAAGAGGAATTAAAGATAAGTTTTTGTGTCATGAATCAACCGAAGGACCGATCTGTCAAATAAAATTTGTGGATTTTGAGTACAGCAGCACAAAAGCATGTCCATAAAGAATCTGCTGAATGCCAGCAGCACCTATACAAAATTCATTAAACAAGAAACTCAGTTTACATTTTCGAGTACAAGGCAGCACATTCTCAATTTGGTACAGTGAGACTGGACAAAACACACGACAAAGGCACAAAGAAATCTGAGGCATCAACGATTCGGCGATATTTGTGCCCCGAAAGGATCTGCTCAGTGCCAATACATATACAAAATCCAGCTGCATTCCGAAAGGAGAAGGAAAATGATAACATTTCCCTTACCAAGGTTTCAAGTCTCCCACTGGACCTGCTGTCCAATTCAGAACCTTTTGATCATCTTTCATGTAAACACTTTGATCGTGGGGTAGTTTGCGTGCCAGCCCGTTTAGTATCTGATGGAAAGCATCCCCTGGTTGTGCAGGTTGTGGGAACATCATCGCCCATTTCATCGAAGGATTCGCCAGCAATCTTTGTTTCCTTAAGATTACTTCTGGTGGAATAGAAGTGAGGATTGTGTCCAGGTTAGGGACATCTTCCTCAGCAACAAAAACACCGATTTCTTCCCATGGGATAGCATCAGCAAAGGGCAGAACAATGTCGTCGGCTATAATAACAGGGATGCAGCCAAACACCACTGCTTCAACTAGCCTTGGACTCCAAGGAGCCCAACCAAGAGGACATAAACAGAATATAGATCGCTGCATGTCTTCGTAATATGTAGTTGGATGGTCCGTGGAGATATCAAAGAGTGGATTGTTCTTGAAATTTTCCCAAACAGCTGCCCTTGCACCTCTGTTAATCAATTAGAAGGGTTAATGAGATGGACGTATGTCTTAAGTCTAACTTGACATGAAAACATGTTTCATAATTTCAAATGGATAAAACACTTTCCAGACAAACATACCTCGCATAGTAACCACCTTCAGGGTCGTTATTAATGTCATAAAATAGACCACGGAAGTAGACAAAGATGGACCGTGGAGTTTCTTGGGGAATCAGGTGCGTCTGCATTTTCTGTGGTGGAGCATATGGAGGAATTGTGATTGAACCGTCCTTCAAGCATACGTGGTTCTGTTGTCCAAACGTCTGAACTAAGGTGGCACGCTGGAGTAATGGAAGAATCCCCCGTTCAATGGCTTTCTCTTCCTACAGAATGCCAACATATTTAGACCACATGTTAGTCACGGCTCGTACAAGTAACTTTCTGTTACTTCTGCAAATAATGATTTGATTCGAATGGATGAAATTTTTAGTGAGGTTTTGTTGACAGAACTACAAATTCATGCAAACTTTTCATGTTCCAACACAAATTACTTTTCTTTAACAGTTTAACCCCCAAAAAATCATGGTTACTTACGAATTTGAAGGGTCTTACCTGGTAATGAAAGCAGGCTCCAAAGTCATGGGGAACAACAAAGAAGTGATTAGCTCCTTCCGTTCGATTCCAATAAGGCCAGTTTGTAGAAATGAGCTGTATTGCACTTCTCACCATCCGCGGTGACTTGAAGGGCAATGGCAAGCCAGTGGGGGTAAGGTCACAAGTAGGGTAGATAGGAGTATAAAACCAATCTGCTTCCTCCGGATTATGGGTTCTAACTGGGCTGGATAAGAGGAACCGATGCATGTAGATCTCAGCAGCAAACATATGGTTGAGACATCTCGGGTCTTTCTGAAGGATTTTCTTGTTGTATTTGCTAGGTAGTTCATACACATAAACCTTCAACCTTCCAACTGGATTATCCTCCAAGACATCACCAGCACTTCCTGCATCATTCTTCCATTAAGTCAATCGGAAACAACAACGAAAAAAAGGGATCAAACAGAATAAAATGCTTATGGAACATAAATTTAAAGGCATTCACAAGAATCCTTTTTCTTACAGTTCATCTTTCCAAGAACACAACTGGGTTCCCCTCTTATCCAATTTCCATGCATAAATTGTTAATCTTTGATGTAATGAACAATCACATTATTAGTCTTTCTTATACAAGTTACAGTATGAACCCCATATAAAATTCAAATGTAACCCTCTATCAACTTGGGCAGACGTGGGCCTACTCACATTGCCTGCACCGTGTTCAAATTTTACTTCCCGCAGTTTAGATTAGTTTAAAGTAGAATACCGCTTGAATCAAATAATAAAACTCCTACTCAACTGGGAGCTAATAAAAACTCGTGTCCCCAAATTAATCCTGCAAGTAAATCCATCAAGAGAAATGCCAAAAATACTGACCCTTTTACTATCAGACAAAGCAAAATTGCAGAATCACTCAGTTTATACACTTCTTATGAACTGTGACAAAATCGGGAATAATTTCAAACACCTGACATCCTACCAATGACACTTTGTACAGCCAAATGTAGCAAAAAGGAAGCTGCTTTGCAACTAATTCGAAGTA